ATAATAATAATAATAATAATAATAATAAGTTTTCCCGTTAATTTCACAGGCACTTTGTAAAAGTAGCACCGGCAAAAAAAAAAAAACAAGTTACGTAATAACAAGTCGAATCATTCATTCGAGAAGGTCTTCTGGAAAAAAAAAAAAAATTCCAAAAACATATGTGGAAAGGGAATTGATTCTTTCTCTCTCTCTCTCTCTCTCTCTCTCTCTCCTCCAGTACTCGTGTTCAGAAAAAAATGAAATAATAATAATAATAATAATCAGTGATTTTATACCATTTGAACCCGATGGAAGTGCGTGAATGAACAACGTGCGTAAATTTAAAATGCGTCATGTAAATAAAAAACGTAAATTCGTGATAAATAATAATAATAATAATATTTAAATTTTTTTTTTTTTTTGGTGATTTTAACGTGGCATGAACCGAATTGTAAAAAAAAAAAAAAATTTTCCAAAAAAATTTTGGAGAGAAAAAAAAATAATAATAATAAATTGATGAAATGAAAATTTTTATATTTTTATTATTTATTATTTTTTTAGTTTCCGGTAAAAGACGCGTAAGTTTTTATATTTAAATTAATTTACCGCCATTTTTAAATTCGAATATTATTGTGCGTGCGTGCGTGCGAGTGCGTGTGCGTGTACCTGTGTGCGTGTGCGCGTGTTGTTTTTATTCGTTATCAATTCAAATATATATATATATATTTATATATTAATAAAAATCGAATAAAAGAAAAAAAAACCTGAAATTGAAAATGTTGATTTATAAATATAAAAGTCAAGGCTGAGTGAAATTATTTTTTTAAAAATAATTTAAATAAAAAAAAACTTTCGCCACCATTTTATTTATTAAAAATCTTAATCAATATATATTTTACATAATTATTACCTTTCGTTAATTATTAAATTGTCGTACGAGTGATAATAATAATAATAATAATATTCAAGGACGAACACGTAACATGCAATTTTTTTATTTATTTTTTATTTTTTTTCAAAAGATATATGTTTGTTTGTTGTTGTTGTTGTTTGTTGTTTTTATACAATTTTTAATTTATTTTCGATTGATTCGGTGCTCTTATCACCACACCTTTATTGATAATAAACGATTTTTAACGGTTTTTGTTGACGTTTAAAATTTAAACGTTTTTTTTTTGAAAAGTTTTTAATTTAGTTGGAGAAAACGATCGAGAAGTGTGAAATAAACAAATAAACAAACAAACAAATAAATAAATAAACAAACAAACAAACGAACGAACAAACGAATTAACGGTTGCCTTTTTCCTTTCTTTTTTATTTTACATCGCAGGCCGACAACTTTTGGTGACAAAAAAAAAAAATTAATTTCATTTTCACTCGAAGTTTTTTTTAAAAACTTAATTCGAATAATAATAATAATAATAAATTATCAATACATCGAAATCGATTAAAGGGGAACGAAATAAAAAAAAATAATAATAATAATAATAATAATAGTGATAATAATAATAGTAATAATAATAATAAAACCTAACCTTGTCTTTTACATGACTGATTGATTGATGGGTCATCAAATAAAAAGTTGCATGTTTTATTATTATTATTATTATCACGTTTAATGACGTTTTCCTTTAATAATAATAATAATAAATAATTTATTTATAAACGCGGGTAATCGTTTTTTTTTTTTTTTTAATGTATTAAAAGTAATAATAATGATAATTTTTACTTTCGATTTTTTAAATTTTGTATAAAATATTATTTTTTTAAAAAAAAAAAAAAGTACGTAAAGCGGTTTTCATTATTATTAATAAATATAATATCGAATAATAATAATAATAATATGTCGTAGTATTTTTTAACGATTCCCTAAAGTATTGTTTTTAAATAAATTTTAAGGTACGATATTTTCAATTAATAAATTATCAATTTGAATTTTTTTTTTTTTTCAAATAAATAATTATTAATTATTATTTAAATGGTTTTTCTTTCGATTTTCACGATTCCGAGTAATTTTATGTAAATTTACGACGTAATGATAATGACGATGATGATGATGATGATGATGATGAATTGTAGAAATATATATGTGCATAAACGTTAAAGTCTTATTAATTACGGTAATAAGGGGGGAAAAAGAAGAAAAAATAAGCGAATTAAAATGAGTTTGAAAAAAAATACGAAGAGAATTTATTATTATTATTATCATTATTATTATAAGAAAGACCGTGAAAAAAAAGAACAAAACAAAAAGAACTTCCGACGCGAAAAATTTTTTTTTTTTCGTCAAGTCATTATCGATGTAATAAAAATGACGTCATTAAAATAAAATTTTTTGATTGATGGAAAACCTTTTTAAAGTAACCACGCAAGGTTTTTTTTTGTTTTTGTTTGTATATTATATACAAACAAATTAATTGTAAGATTCAGGGGGAGGATGAGGAGGTGTGTGTGGTGTGTGTGCGAGGGAGGGGTTAAAACGATTGCCAAAGATCAACGGCAGGATGTTTAAAAAAAAAAAAAATTTTTTTTTCCTTAGAATGCATATCAAGAAATCGTACCTGATAATTTTCCATATCCTTGTCCGAATAAAAATTTATGGAGAAGTAAAAAACCACCGACGAACGTACACGAATTAAGACCTGGAGACGTTGACGTCATAGCCGCAATTGGAGATTCATTAACAGCCGGAAATGGAGGATTGGCAGAAAACATGATTGAAGTTTATTTAAATGAAAATCGTGGAGTTTCTTGGTCGATCGGTACCATTTGCAATTTAAATAAATAAATAAAAAAACTCACGTGGGATTTTTTTGTAAATAGTTTTTTTTTTTTGTTGTCAGGTGGTCAAGGTACCTGGAGAGAATTTTTAACCGTTCCTAATTTATTGAAAATAATGAATCCGAAACTCGTCGGATATTCAAAAGGTGATGGCAACACTTATTCCCACAATGCACAATTTAATGTTGCTTATAGTGGTGCCATGGACCAAGATCTCATCGGACAAGCACGAAGATTGATAACAATAATGAAAAATGATAAAAGAGTCGATTATGAAAATCACTGGAAGGTAAATTCCCCCCCCCTCCCCACATACTTATCATTAAAACAAAACCCTTTCATCCATAATAATAATAATAATAATGTTTTTTTTTTTCTTAACAGATGTTGACTGTTATGATTGGTACAAACGATATTTGTAGCGATTACTGCCACGACAAAACTCAAGGACCGGAAATGCATAAAAAAAATTTAATAAAATTATTAGATTATTTATATAAAAAAATGCCAAAGACTTTTGTTAATTTAGTCGTTACTCCTTGTACGTATGAGTTTGTTAAACAACCACAACAAACAACAACAACAACTACAATCGTTTGTTTTACAGGTTTAACATATTTCTTATCGGTTTTTAGATATACCATATTATACGGAATTAATAGATCCGCCATTTTTACAATGTTTTTCAATGAAATTAATGACATGTTCGTGTCTTTTCGGTGGATTTTTTCAAAAAAAAAAATTACAAATGGGGATTTACATGACGAAAAAATTTCAAAAAATTCAAAGAGAAATCGTAACTATTTATTTATTTATTTATTTTTAATAATAATTAATTATTAAATAATAATAATAATGATAATGATTAAAATTTTTGTTTAAAGGTCGAAAGCGGTAGATACGATGGTAAAAATGATTTTGTTGTTGTTTATCAGCCGACAAATTTAAATTCGCATTTTCCTAAATTACCGGAAAATAAAAGAAATTTACAAATGGATCCCCACGATTATTCTTTCGTGGCAATAGATTGTATT